ATTGGTAGCTGGGAAGAAAGATCACTGAGCTAAACTAAATATATGTCAGTTACATAAACTTTAAAGCAGAAATCACTTATTAGTGACAGTAATAGCTCTGAATTTATATGAACTTCATAGCCTCCAGATATATGAAGCAAAATTTGACAGAATTACAAGGAACTACTAATAAAACCATAATCATAGTGGGAAATTTTAATGTGAGTTCTTATTAATTGATCAGTCAAGCAGAAAAATATTGTAATAGAGAAGATGTACACAATACAATTTATCCTGATTGAATGGATATATATAAAAAACTTTGAACTTCAAAATACGTGTGATTTTTAAAAGCACATGGAACATTTACAGAAATTGACCAATTAGATCATTAAGTCTCAACACATGTCCATACTTTGAAACTATACCACATCCTGTGAATATGATGAAATAAAGAACAAAATTAAGAGACTAAAAACTGCACCCCAAATAAATTAAGTCCAAAAGAAACTGTGAATTAGAAAATACCTCAAACAGAACTACAGTGAAAGTTACATACCACAATGTCTAGATTGTAACTGAAGAGTTATATGGAGGAAAATCTATGGCCTTAGGTGTGTATATTAGAAGAGAAAATTATTGGGGTGCCTGAGTGGCTCAGTCAGTTAAGTGTGTCCGACTCCTGATTTTGGCTCAGGTCATGATCTCATAGGTTTGTGGAATCAAACACTGACAGCATGGAGCCTCCTTAGGATTCTCTCCCTCTCTCTCTCTCTCTGCCCCTCCCCTGCTCATGTGTTTTCTCTCTCTCTCTCTCTCTCTCTCTCTCTCTCTCTCTCAAAAGAAAAAAAAAAGAAAATTATTGATCTACGTGTTCTATTCAAAAAATTAGGAAAAAAATGGCAGAATAGTATATAGAAGTTAATAAAAATGAACTAAGAAAGTTAAGAGAATGCACATATATACTAGAAAGCAGTGAAGATGATCAAAAACAACTCTTCAAAAGCATTAATAAAATAGACAAGTAGGCAGGATTAATTGAGGAAAAAATAATGAGGGTAAAAAGGAACAGAACTACAAAAACAATGTAAGCTTTAAAAAATAATACAGTAAGTTAATTTGAATAGATTTATAAAAAGAAAGGACAATTCCCAGTTTTACTGAAGCTTCAAATAAAAGAGAAGCTATCTTTTCCTGTTGCAGAGATTAGAAAGAAAGAAAGCTCCCAAAGTTGTTATTTACCTTGTGACACCTTGACAGTAAAACCAGACAAAATGAGTATTGAAAAAGGAAAATTAGAGTCTGTCTCAGTTAAAAGCATATAAATGAAAATCCTATGGGGTACCTGGGTGGCTCAGTTGTTTAAGCATTTGACTCTTGGTTTTGGCTCAGGTTATGATCTCACAGCTTCATGAGTTTGAGCTCCGAGTCAGGCTCTGTACTGGCAGCATGGAGCTTGCCTGGGATTCTCTCTCTCTCTCTCTCTCTCTCTCTCTCTCTCTCTCTCTCCCCCCCCTCTCTGCCCCTCCCCCACTTGCACTGTTTCTCTCAAAATAAACTTAAATTTTTGTAAACAAAAATCCTAAAAAAAGCATTAGCAAATGAAATCCAAGAATATTAGGAAAAGATCATACATACATCAGAGCTAAGAGAAGTTCACTTCAGAAATGCAAAAGCAAATAATAACAATGATGCAAAAGGAAGGTCTATCATGAGAAAGACAGCAGACAAATCCCAACTGAAAAACATTCTACTAAATACCTGATCAGTTCTCCTCAAAACAGTTAAGGTCATCAAAAACAAGGACATGGCCAAGAGAAGGTGAAAGAAACATGACAATTAAATGTAATGTGGTATCCTGCATGGAATCTTGGAACATAAAAATTAATAAAAGACATTAGGTTAAAAACCAAAGAGGTCTAAATAAAGTATGGGCTTGATATAATAATGTTTCAATATTGGTCTATTAATTATAGTAGATGTACCATACTTACATAAGGTGTGAGCAATGGGGGATGTCAAATTAGACATTTGTCTAATGTTAAGTTAGACATAAATCCACAAGGACAGGGATGGCAGGAAAAAAGGCAGTAGTAACCAACTTTTAAAAGTTGTAACAGATGACACATGGCCAAGGCATCAGCAGACCTGAGGGCACTGAATCCTGTGTTGGTACTGGGGAGAGCCACGAAGCAAGCTGACTGCAGTTATTGTAGATTTCCTAAAAGGGTTAAAAAATTGTCCATATGAGGTAGCTATAGAAGTAGGAGGTAATGGTGGGGCTAAAAACGGGCAGACTGTTTGGAAGTCTATTTAAGAAGTAGTTAGAACTTCATCCCAGAAGAAGAAGCAAATAAATTGGGAGGTTTCTGGCCTGGAGTCACCAATAAACAGCTAAGTATAGAGGTGCTGTCTTGAAAACAAAGGAACTAAGGAATAATTTGCATACTCTCTGAGCAGTAGAGAGTCTTTTTCCTAGAATTTGGGTTCTAGGAATAAAAGCCCCAAAGAAAATGTATGTCTGAGGTTTTCTGAGAACATGGTGAAACTCTCCAAAGATAATGCCTGTGCACTATGCTTCCATTCAGCTTTTTGTGGACCATTCTCAAATATGAGCAGATAGCCAAGGATCCCCAACCATTTGAAAAAGATATCTAATATGAAAACACAAGACAAATATAAGAATATGGGATGAAGGTAGGGTCGCCTGGATGGCTCCTTCGGTTGAGCGTCCGACTTTGGCTCAGGTCATGATCTCACAGTTCCTTAGCTCAAGCCCTGCGTCAGGCACTGTGGTGACAGCTCAGAGCCTGGAGCCTGCGTTGGATTCTGTGTCTCCCTCTCTCTCTCTCTCTCTCTCTCTCTCTGCCCCTCCCCTGCTCATGCTCTGTCTCTCTCAAAAATGAATAAACTTAAAAAATTATTAGAAAAAAAGAATATGGGATGAAGTAGAATGGAGCAGATCTTAAAAGGAGTCTGAAAAAAGTCTATTTAACCCATCCCCCCCCAAACAGATTAAGAGTACACTTATCTTAATGAACACTGAGTAATGTATAGTATTCTTGAAATCATTATATTGTACACTTAAAACATATTAATATAACACTATAAATTTTTTTTACCTTAGAGTTTAAAAAAAAAAAGCTTGGGAAGAAATAAAATTTTAAAAAGCTATTAATATCTTCATGAGGTAAGAATATACTGTATCCATGAAAGAAGGACCAAGAGTATAAAAATAGACTGAAAACAAGAAAGATCTTTTGGATATTGAAAATATGAACAGAGGGGCGCCTGGGTGGCTCAGTTGGTTGAGCATCTGACTCTTGATTTCGGCCCAGGTCATGATCTGAGAATCATGGGATCAAGCCCCACGTGAGGCTCCGTGCTGATAATGGAGCCTGCTTAAGATTTTCCCTCTCTTTCCTTCTACCCCTCTCCCCTGCTCATGCTCTAAATTAAAAATAAAATAAAATAGAAATATGGCAGCAGAAATAAAATCAAATCAGTGGAAGTCAATACAATACCTGGATATTGTAGTCAAAAGGACCTAATGAATTGGCAAACACAGTGGCTGAAAATAGACCAGGTGACACCAGGAGGCTTCAGAACACTAGGTACAAAGAGGATACAAATTTTGCCAACTTAATAATTTTCCATAAAATAATTTCAAGCCTCAGAATACTGCTTGCTGACTTTAAAATCACAAAGGAGTGGCACTTGGGTGGCTCAGTCAGTTGGGCAACCAACTTCAGCTCAGGTCATGATCTCATGGTCTGTGGGTTTGGGCCCCACATTGGGCTCTATGCTGACAGCTCAGAACTTGGAGCCTGCTTGAGATTCTGTGTCTCCCTCTCTCTCTGCCCCTCCCCTCTTGCTCTCTCTCTCTCTAAAATAAACAAACATTAAAAAAATTTAATAACAAAGGAAAGTAAAAGAAATTGAAGCAAAGCATTTCCATCACAGAATTCTATACCCAACCAAACTATGGACTACAAGTCAGGGAACAAACACTTAGAGATCTATAGGGACATGCCCCTTTCTCAAGCACCACTAGGAGATATGGCCCACTAAAAGGAAGAAATAAGCAAAGAAATACTGTCTGCCATTTTGTGATTCTGGTCTTACAAAATAGACTATAAACATACATTCACACAAACACTTATACACAAATGTTTATGGTAGCTTTATTATAATCATTGAAAACAGGAGGAAACTATCCAGATATCCTTCAGTAGGTGAATGGATGAACAAACTATGGTATATTCATAAAATGGAAGATTAACCTGCAATAAGAATCCCCCAAATGGATGAATCTCACATGCATTAAGCTAGGTGACGGCATCCACACCGCTACCCACACCACCCACTCACACCATTATCATACTGTAGGATTTATATGACATTCTAGAAAGGGCAAAACTCTAGGAAAAGAAAACAGCAGTGCTTGCGAGGGGCAAAGAATAAGGGGAGGGGACTCACTATAAAAGGGAACTTTTGGAGTGATGAGGCTGTTCCGTATCTTAATTTTCATGGCAGTTTTTGGTGACAGTTACATGGTTGTATACACTCCTTAAAACTCCTTGAGTCTAAAAAGGGTAAAATTTATTGTAAACAAATTATACCCCAATAAGCCTGAGTTAATAACAGCCATTACAAATATCACCCCAGCATTGAGGCTGTCCCTCGCCACCTACTTTTCATGGCCCTGTTCCCTACCAATCCTGCTCAGGGTTCTCCTCCTTCCCCTCCTCTGCTGTATAAAACCTTTCACACGATCTCCAGGAGCTTTTTTCTCATCTCTAGGTTGTTGCCCTTTTAGTTTGAAGAATGAAAAGTCACTTGACCTTTCTTTACTGATTCTGCTTTTCCATCCTTTGGAATCATCAGCCATTGCACACTTTTAATCTTTAATTATTTTACCCTGAATACGTAAATTGTCAAGCATCAGTGATTTGCACTGAAGAGAAAGGGCTGTAATGATGAAATCAAGATTGTGTTTACAGACATGTTTTCCTCCATAGATAGCAGTGAGTGCCTTGCAGATGACTGCAGTATAATTGCTGGAGGGAACCTTACCGGTTGGCACCCAGACTCTGCCGCTGTGTTATGGCGAAGAGTCCTGGGAATCCTCGGGGATGTGAATAATATCCAGTCCCCCAAGATTCATGCCAAAGTTTTTGGCCATCTCTATGAACTCTGGTACAAGCTAGCAAAGGTACGTCCTGCCACATTCCCTTTTGTTCTAAGAGGGGAAAATTGATTTATCATTTATCATTGATTTAACATCAAAACCCTGTTGGCAGTCAACTACTGAATGTAATCTGGAACATATATTCGGTGTTTAGACAAAGTTGTTTGATTGTCACAGAATAAATAATAAATAACTTATAGTTTGGTCATTTCATAAATGCAGAAGAGCTATTTCATTTAATGCATATGTATGTAGAATATTACTGTAAGATATTAAGGGGTAGGGTATTGAGTAGTTTTTGTTATTTTCTTGATAAAAGTGATACCAGTTTTATTGTACAAGATTTAAAAAATGTAGAAAAGTATGAATAAGAAAATTTACATCACCATTCCACAGAGATAACCAGTATAAATATATAGTTTTATTTCTGTGGATAAACATATTTTTTACAAAAATAGAATCTTAGAGTACATACAGTTTTCATTCTGGGTTTTGATTATAATCTATGCTTTCCCCAGGTTATTAAGTTTTTTGGATTTTGTTCTTGTTTTTAGAAAATGTGATTCATATTTATACAGTATAACTTATTAGGCCATTCCTTATCATTTGGAGTTGAGGATGTTTTGAGGCATTAACACTCAAGGGAAAACAAAGCCCTAGTTTTGTATTAAATCTAAAACCATGTACAGTAAGTGAGACACATAATTTAAAATGGCAGTAGATCTCATGGTAGAAGAAAAACTTGTACATATTGTAGGTTTTCACTCAACATGTAGAAATTTAATGAGAAGTAGCTATTTGGCCATGGAACACAATATTGAAATATCATTGCGATAAACTATGTGTGGCCTTTCCTAAAATTCTCCTCTTTGTGAATTAGATACGGGATAATCTGGCAATAAGCCTGGATAACCAGTCTTCTCCATCTCCACCGGTGCTGATCCCACCACTCAGAATGTTTGCATCATGGCTATTTAAGGCAAGTGGATATGTGTTTATTCCTTTATTGCAATTTCCTCTTCCTTTCTGAAATTGAGTTTAAAAAATGTAATTGGCCAAGACTGCACGTTTTGAAGACAAGCTGAATCTTACTAAAGCCACTAACTGCATCCTTCGTCTTCATAAACAACTCTTATGGAATACTGAGAAGTAAATGAAATGTCAAAATGCTCTGCATCTGGAGCTGATTAAATCTTTAAACCTCATCTCCTTGGCAGGCGACGACATTGCCAAACGAATATAAGGAAGGCAAACTGCAAGCCTACAGACTGATCTGCGCCATGATGACCAGACGCCAGGACGTTCTGCCAAACAGGGACTTCCTAGTGCATTTTTACCTTGTGATGCACCTGGGATTAACCAGTGAGGATCAGGTATTCTGTGACTCCCTTATCACGGTAGCCCACCAAGTGGAAAGTGCATATCGCTTTTTGCAGGTTAAATTAGGGTGCATGAAAAGACATCAAACATGTTGAAATTTTCGGTAGTTTCAGCTCTTCTACACAACAACCACATTGGTCTTTCAAAAACATAAATCAGATTCTGTCACATTCCTGTTTCTTCTCTCCACTGACTTTGCATTACACCAACCAAATTTGAACTTTATTCTGTGGCTTACATAGTGCTTTATGATTTAGCTTCAGCTTATGTTGTCAAATTCAAAAATGCTGTTTCAGCCACTTTTTGTTGGGGTTCTGCATTAGATATTATTTTAACAAAATCATTGTGATCATTTAAAAATGTTTGAAAACTATGATTTTAGTAGTTAGGATATTTTTGTAAAAGACCTCATGCGTAAATTAGGGGTCCTGACATTTCTTGATGAGGAGTCATTCTCATTTCTCCCAAAGGAATATGATTGGTGGGTTAAGTTGAAACAGAAAGGTCAGAGGAGTCAGTAGTGACAGCCACTTCTGGTAGATCCTGGATGTGCAGGGTAGGAAGGATATGGCTAGTCCCACGCCTCCCTACCCCTGCCCATGGGCAGAGGGCAAGGAGGGGAGCAGGAACACCCAGAGTCCTGGTTCTCTGCCTGAATGTCAAGCAAGGGAGTGATATGACTGGTTTGTACTTCACAGAGATTATTCTGGACTCCTTCCAAGGATTATTCTGGAATCCGAATGGATTTGAAAATGTAACAGTGGTAGTGTAGAGTGGGAGTTTGGGCCTGGAGACAGATTAATTAGGAAGTGGTCAAACGAATATAGAATTTAAAAATGATGAGCAGTAAGATGATGGCACTGGGAGCAGGATACTGGAAGAGGAGAGATTTAAGCAATTTCAAAGCATTGAATGTTATCACTAGGTCTTCTTGAGCAATAAGAGGTATAGAGAATGTTTCAGCACTTACCCTTGAAATTGTAGCTACTCATCACTGAACTTGAATCACTCGTGAGCTATAAGCAGTCATCCTTTGTGTTTCTGTTTTATTCTTTGAAAGTATAATACAGTCACACAGACCTTGATGATAAACTTAGGGTATGTGTTAAGAGGTCAGTCTCCTGAGTAGCCAGTTTTTCCTTGTTGCTTCAGAACGCATTTCTTGAAGCTTCTCGACCCTTTAGCCCTATTTAAAACTCTCGCAATATATCCCTGATAACACCCTGGAGCTTTCATCATTGAGCTTTTATCTGAAGCAGTAACTGTACTGGCCTACTGGGTTGTCTTTGTCGTATCTGCCCCAGTTCCAACAATGCATGGAGGATATCCCTATATAATAGGCTGGACTTGCACCCACGGTCTCATTGATTTCCTAAATAAACGCAGAAATAGAGGTGCGAAAGTAGAGCCATTTGTGTCCTGTGCTCAGATATCTGTAGCCATCATTGCAGATGGAAGCGTCTTTCACAGAATGACGTAGCTTCAGGTGGGTGGAAGATTGAGGTGTATAAATAAGGAAGAGAATTAACTCTCACGGATCATGACGAGATCCCTCAGTGACAGAAGAGACAAAAGCTTAGTTAACACAGTACTGTAAAGCAGTATTTTGCTAAGATTTTGCAGGGAGAAAAATTTACTTGGAAATAACAATCAACTGTAGAATTTTCTCAATTAATAAAAACAAATTAGAAGTCAGCAGCTAACACTGGGGTATTCCTGGAATGAGTTTTCTAGAAAGTAATATAAATGGATGTAAATTTAGGATCATCTTTCTATTTTAAAGTCTATCAGAGTGGAAATGAAACGATCAGTGAGAAGAAATAAGACTTTGAGAACTCAAAATATTATTTAAAAAATATGATTTTACAGGGTAGAAAAGGGAGTTTTCATATTTTATACTTAAAATCATTTTTCCATTTTAATATATGTCATGTTTTCAGTTGAGTTTGTTTTTTTTGTGGTTCATTGTAAAATACATAAGTCTTAAATGTTGGTCTGTTACTAAAAGTGATCGCAACATCCAGACTTGTAAGACAAAACAGGGATATCATAAATCTCTGTTTTATAATCAGCCTATTGTCTAGCCATTAGAGGCTTGAATTTTTATGTGTGCTTAATAGAAGTGGCTGTATTCTGCAGCCTTAACAATTATTAGTATATACTTGAGAAGCCCTGACTGTCTGCCAAAAGAATTACTTACTGTAAGTAAACCTTGTTCCTTTTCCAGAAGAAAATTGCACAGAAAACCTTCTAATGAAAGAAACTTTTCTCATTTAAGTAAGAAATGTCTCCGATAATTAGTTTAACTTTTGGTCCACATGCCTAAATGGATCATGGTGGTTGTTCCAGAACTTATATGTTCTTCTGGAAACACATATTACATTAATTATAAAAAAATAAGAAAGCACTTACTGTAGAGAATACAGTTAAATTCAGTTTTTTAATCCGTGAACTGTGCACCTGTGACTAGTACCATTTCCTTCTTATGAGAGTTCTCAAAAAGTCACTAGCCCGGTGCTAAAAGACTTTGTTCCTGCAGAGAGAACCTTATAAAAATCTTCCTCATTTCTTAGTAAGGTAAGTAATAGCAAATAATTTAAAATGTTCTAACATTTATTAGTTTTATCTTAGAAAAAAATCCAAGGTGAATTTCCTTTCACCTCTGGGTGGCACACTTGCCTGCATAACTCACTGTGTGGCTCACCCTCCACCACTGGCCTTTGAAATGGCCCCAAGGCCCATGGCCCTGAGAGCATGATTGTGTGGCATAGTCATTTTACAAATGCTTCCCTAAATATGAGAGTATCAAAATTATGTCAGCAGTGACTAAAAAAGTGTTGAAGTGGAAATAAGCTCTAAGATGTTAAAAATCTTTTATTTCCAGACCTATGGGTCCTTATAGTAATTGAAAACTTTTTTTTTATTAAAGAAACCTATTTGTGGGGCACCTGAGTGGCTCAGTCAGTTAAGCGTCTGACTTTAGCTCAGGTCATGATCTCACAGTTCATGAGTTTGAGCCCCATATCAGTCTCTGTGCTGACATCCCAGAGCTTGGAACTTGCTTCAGATTCTGTCTCCCCCTCTCTGCCCTTTCCCTGCTCACACTCTGTCTCTCTCTGTCTCTCAACAATAAATAAATGTTAAAAAAACATTTTTTAAAAACCTATTTGTAAAATAGATGTCTCACAGACTGTGTTCTATGATACAATCGTATAAAACCATGGTTACATTTAATATGGTGGCCAATTCATTATGAAAACAAATATAGTCATTTCTGTATTTAAAATATCAATAGTAATACATTTTGAACAGCCAAAATGCATCACATTACAAACCAACGTTTTTGTTTGGACCAGTTTTAGCTAGTCTATTAACTTAATAATTTAATAGCTAAAACAGTGACCTTATCAAGTAGTATTTTCCCAAGTTCATGTGTAGTCTGAGTTTATTAGTTTATTAGTATGATTGAAAATCATATAGTTTTATTAGTATGATTGAAAAAATGCTTTGAAATAGCTGTACTTTTCCTCCACTCTGAATTAAAAAAAAATTGATCCTGTTACTGGTTTAGAAAGAAAATAATTTGGATTGTAAGGACTTTCATGATATAACTATACATCATGAATAAAATTTGGGGTGACTTGTGGGACTGACTGCCCAGCCTTCCTGTGAAGGGTCTTCCACTTGGCTTCCTTCTGCCCAGCTCCTTTGTATCTGGTTGGCTGATGAGGGTAGAGGGTCTTTACTTCCCCGACTCCCACCGTGCCAGACTCTGTGCTGGCACCTGCGTGATGTTTTCCCACTGGTTTGTCTCTGCAATTCAGTTAGATAAATATCATAACACACTGTTTAAATAACAAAGGTTCAAAAAATATCAAGAACTTTTGCCCAATGCCACACACTAAAAAGGCTGTTAGTATTCACAGGAAAGGCGTGGTTTATTCCACAGGGTATGTCTTCCCCATTGATTCACAGCTAACAGGCCTGTCAGACAGTTGTTTGTTCTGTTCCTTCCTCCTTCTGTCTTGTTCTACCTGGACTCCAGCCTTGGTCCCCCCACCTCAGACTCCTCCTGACTAGAGCGCCCTCCCACCTCCAACCCGAGATAGGTTTCCACAGCTGCCTCCCCAGCTCCTCACCATCTTTCAACTGCTCTTCTAAAGCTGTTCCTCGTTGCTCTTAGTTTTTCCTAAAGCCTCAGCGGCTTTTTCACCTCAGTCTTCCCCAAAATATTTGGACATGAAAAGAGCTATGATTTAGATTTATTAAAAACAGTTCCTATTAATTTCATCGTTATTTAAAACATATGGAAAGATCAATATGTGTAAAATGGAAAGGGACAGTTGAGGAAAGGAATTTTATTTTCATGTTTCTAAGAACATATATCAAAGACTGGAACGTTTTCTTTGCTTAAAATAAGCAAACTATTTTTTAACAATGACTTACAGATTTAATGTCTTAATGTAATTTGTTACACATCAAAGTTAAATTCTCTTTTAAGTGCAAAGCCTACGTTAATGTAAAATTATTGCAAATTTGCATATAGAAATTTTGGGAAATATAGGTCTTTGTCATTTCCATCTATAATTTTGTATTAGCCTACTTTAATGCACAAAAAAGCATGGGGCCTGAGGTGGAAAAATGTGTATTGTTCAGCCCTGAGGTAACCATCTAGTGACAAATTTGAATTGTAACAGGATAAAGTCATGATTTAGTGTAATATAGTATGATATAGTGTAATAGTTAAGAGCATGGGCTTCAAGACAACCTGTCTGAGCTCCAGCCTTGGCTATACCTTGTCATTTGACTTCCCTATGCCTTTCTCCCCTAATATGTAAAATGCAGGTAATTGTGGTGCTTACCATAAGGGTTATTTGAAGACTTTGTGGAGCTAAAATATATAACGTACTCAATTCAGAGCCTGGACAAAAACAGCCCTCAGTAAACATGAGCCCTTGTAATGACACTGAAGAGTATGAGGAAAAGAACATAC